CCAGTTTCCAGAAGAGAAACTGGAACTTTGCTTAAATTAAATATCAGCCAACAGACAGGTTTTGGAAGGGTCAAGAACTGAGCAGAGATCTTGTCTGTCCCAGTCTGTGCCACGTTCCTTAAGACATCGTCTAGCTGTAAGTGCTTGTGCTGCTCTCTCTGAAGCTACCAAGTAAAAAGTCTGGTAGTAACCAAGATGATGACAATTTCAATTTTATTTATTTAGAGAGGGAGGGGGGGGAGAGAGAGAGAGAGAGATGGATATGGATATATGTGTGTGTCACAGGTTTTCTTGCTTGAAGAAGTCTATACATAGGTGCGTTTCTCTTTGATCAGAAGAATTTGGCATCTTATTTTTTCCTGCCTTCACTTTCATCTGACCTGTTGTTGAAAGAGCAATATGTGCAGCCTCCTCTAATGAGGCATGATAGCGTGGCATGGGTGATTGCACTTCTTTTTCTGCAATAAAGACAGAATTTCTGTTCCTTTGTACCTCTGTGTCAGTTTTAGGGACAAATAGTCCCTCGATCATCGTGAACTTGGAAGTTCATTACTAAAGTGTTGAGTATTGCTGTCCTGAAACTGAGCCGTGGCCAAATTAAGAAGGTATATTCAATAAGCCTTTGGTTTTGGAGTCCCTGCTATGCTACAGGAATATGATGTACAAAGAAAGAAATTTTGTGCTTCTTTAGTGGTTTTTCGTTAAAAAGGTGCAGGAGTTTCGGTTTCATGCCTGAACTGTTCAGCTTAAGAAATTTTCCAGCATTTGAAGTGGTGACAGATCCCCACGGCTTGCATTTGGGATTCTAATGCTTTTTGTCCAGAGATTCCAAGGAAATATGTATTTATCAAGTTCAGCTTTTACAGCGCCTCTGTGAGATGAAATTATCATTGCTTGTCAGATGGGAAGACAGTAGTACGTAGTGCGACCTGCCCAAGATCACACTGCAGACCCATGTCAGGAGAAGAGTGGGTTCCTTTCTCCCTTAACTTCAAAATCGTCCTTTCATGAAATGAAGAACTTGCCTCGTTACACACACAGGCAATGTTACACATCCTAATATGCTCTAGTAAGAAATGATGTCTTAACAAACAGGTTTTTCAGAAGCAGCGTGGTAACGGCTATCAGCTTGTTTTATTTCAGCGTTGGACAAGTTCACCTTCGGGGCTGCGCTGGGATGGCTGAACTCATCCCTCCCGTAACCTGTGCGTCGTCTGAACTCGGGCTCTGCGCGTGGGGCCGGCTGACATAATAAACAATTGCTCTGTATAGCTTTAGTAATGTGGACATTAATATTGATCCAGCACTGACTTCTCTAACAACAACCCAAAAAAAAAAAAAAAAAAAAAAAGTATCTGTTATCTTGAGAAACCTCCCAAACAGCTCTGGTCTCCTTTCATTACAGGAGAGAGTTATTAGGGCAGATGGCTGAGGTGATATCCATTTGACCTATAGATGCTAACTCAAGAGTCGGATCATTAATAAGGTGGCCAGAGATAGGGAGAGGTGGCAGTAAAGAGAGTTAAAAAGCAATCCTGTGCACAAAGGATTGAGCATGGAAAAGTGCCGGGTAGCGAATGAGATGGACAAAGGTGAAAAAGTGGCTGCGTGGTTTTAAATGCTCGTCGCCAAGTCAAGCAGATTACGCTTAAAAGCTGATGTTTTCCCATATTTGGTTCCTGCTCCAGTGTGAATCCTTCTGGAGGAAAAAGAGCCTGTAGCTCTTGAACATAAAACAGAGATTTCACTTGCTCTAATTAAACTCTCCCCCCTCCAAAAAAAAAAAAAAAAAAAAAAAGGCTGAAAACCTAAGGAACTGGTGTCCTTCAGAACCTACTTGATTTTATAGAGGATCAATATACAAATAAGCTTTTTTGTTTTCTGCCATGGCCACAGCTGCAGTGGCTCAGGTTTGAAAGCCGCTGCCTGGTAGAAAACCAGTCCTCACTGAGGATCAGACCGTGGCCTTCTTCCAAGAGAAATTTGGGTTTCATTTGACCACGATGGGATTCCAGATTGTCATCTGAGCATGTCTGAAAAGTGGTGAATGTGTGTCTGTAGTTAAGTGCTCGTGAACTTCCTTAGTCCCCGGATTGTTCAGGACTGACCCAGGCAATTTTTTCCAGATGTTTTGGGGAATCCAAGTCCGTATAAAAGGGATGGTAATGCTTCTGCTTCCTTACTAAGTTGTCTTTGTGGCTTTCAGGGATGCGCCTGGAGCCCCGACACCCCCATTTCTAGTCTCACCTCTACAAACTGCACTTTAACCTTTTCTGCCCTTCCCCGGCATCTCCACACAAGATCACAGAAACTTTGTGGGCTTGGTGCAAACTTTACTTGGCCTTATTTAAAAAAAAATAAGCATTGCTCTTTTTTTATTGTACAAAACTCCGGTCCCTGTTCTCCAAACCTTCTCTGAAATTGTTTTTTCGCCTTTGATCCAGCAGCTGCTGGTTTTCTGCAATCCTGAGTAGGTAAAACATGAGAAGCACCTTGGGATGAGAAGGAGTTACAAAAATATGAAATATTGCAGTGCACTTCTGTGAGACATGGTATAGCAGAGGGTCTGTTTAAGCGGACACCAGGCAGAAATCTTTAGTAAATAGCTGTTCTGATTTTTCTAGGAAATGTAATTTTTTTACTGTTCGTTACAGTAGTTTCTCTTCCACTTTATTGACTCTTTTTATCCCCGTGGGTTTTATATTAAAATGGTTTATGTTGCTATCTCTAAAGTCTGCATGATCAAACCCTGTCTTTCCTAACGTTTGAATTTGGCTACACTTTTCATCTTGTAGCCGAGGCAGAAAACTTCTCTAAATCCCAATTTTAAAGTACGGTGTTTGTTTTAAATTTTATCGCTCTCTAAAATTTCAAATGATGACAAACTCTTAGTGGCGAACTAGGTTGAATGGGGTTGGGAGGGAATTGCTCGGTAGCAACCGGTCCTGTATGACATCTGGTGAATGCTAATTCTTCATCCCCAAAACAGTTTTGAGCAGATGAAGGCAGCTGATTTCTGCAACAGCTTAAACAGAGATTGAAATTGCTTCCATGATCGGGAAGCAGATCTTTTTTTCCCCCATAGCAGGTGCAGGTTCGGTCCACAGTGATTTCTCAGTTATACTCTAACTTTGCAGTTTAAAAAATTTAATGTCAGTGCCCAGCCAGGCAAAACCTAACTCCCTAACATTTCTGTTTTTCACGGAAGGCTAAGACTTTATCCTCAGGCAAAGTCTCCTCTCTGGGCTGGCTGCTGTAAATCCTCTGGGCCCTGGCAAAAGCCAGAGTTGCTAGCTCATTTTACTTAATTTGTGATGCTGGCAAGATTTGTCCTGCAGCCCAGGGCTCTTGACTCAACTCTCCTAAATCAGAGCATTGACACATTACAGTAGAGAAACACCAGCACAGAAAACCTGAAAATAAACTCCTCGAAAAAAGATATTTCAGAAAGATGCTCTTACAAAGCTTTAAATGGTGTTAGTGTAACGTTATAAGTTTCTCGGTGTTTGCTTCTTTAAAACCACCTGCTCATTAAGAAGTTGGGTTTTATCCACTGTCATAATAAATGTTTTTTACTACATATTTCATGTGAGAATCTTAGGGCATTTGATATCTTCCCTTCTAGACAAAATGTCACACGTTTTTCCAGGTGGGTAAACAGAGATGTGGAGTAAAGTGAACTGAGGTTGTCTACACAGGAATGTTAACCAGCATAGGTGTAATGATGTAATTACAGCAAATATAAATGTGTCAGGTTAACGCTGGTTTGCTCATTCTTACTCCAGACTAAGAATTCTTTTTTTCTGCTTGGATAATTGCATTTTGAAAGTGAGGAAGTGTATCCAAGAGGATAAAGTGCTTGGCTGTAGTTGGGGAGATCAGAGATTCTCTTCTCAAACCCACTGTCTATTTGCTGGGAGATCTCAAGTGAATTTTCTCCTTTCTCTGCACCATAATGTCACATGTGTAGGATGGAAGATGGTTTTATATGTTGGGGGGGGGGAAATAATTGCTATTAAACAAAAAACCAGAGCAATCACACAGGTGGTGTCCACACTGGCTTGAAACATTTAGTGCCTGATGTCCACACTGTGCGTGTTTCAGGTTTATCTTATGTTCAAAAGCTGATTTTTTAGTCTCATAGCCTGGATGCTCACTTGCCACTGGAGCATGTTAGGTGTATTCCTCTGGCAACATATCTTTCATTTTGGTTCCACTATAGCAGGAAGCCAGCATACGGACTCCAGGATTGCTCCATGATGCAAACAAAACAACAGTAAGCAGGGATGATGGGGAGATGCATTTCAAAGGCGTGCTCCTGATCCAAACCGACACGCGCACACGCAATACTGGGGTGTTCCCATATAATCATAACAGATAACGTCCATGTGCAGCAAGCTCTTAAAATGGTATCACAGGACCTGGCAGGTTGAGTGGGGCTTAGTCCTCTGCTTTCACCTTCAGGCTGTGCTGCTTCAGGAAAAACAAGCCATGTTTAGAAAGAAGGTTTCCTAGGAGTTAAAATACAGTCAAAATTGTGTGATATGTAAGGAAGACAGCTAGTTCCAGTGAATTTTACTTTGATGTATGCTTTGCAGTAGACTTTGTTACAGCAAAAAATGCTTCAACCTCTCTCCCTTCGTTTAAAATGAACGAAGCAGGTTTGTGTTACTGTAATCCCTGCAGTAAGAAATAATCAGGATGTTTTTAGGTAGAACTGACAATTTGGACCTGTTCCACAAGGTCTGCCGTCATTGGTGAGCTCTACCCTCGTATGCTTTGTTCATGGGTTTGACTTTACACTGCGATGAGGGCACCTGCCAGTCGTGATGGTGGCTAATGTGAGACGGAGGAGATGCCACTCTTTCTTTCCAAGTAGACCAGTAAGAAGCTGTTAGGTGGCCAGTTATCTCTTATGGGCTGAGATGCGTGTGAACATTTTCTCCAATGCTTGTTTGTTTCTGTAAAACACATTTTAATTATCCTAATGCTGTTTTAAAATGTTCTTTGTTACAGAAGAGGAAGAGGAACAGGTGCCTACCGATGGAGGTACATCTGCAGAGGCCATGCAGGTGCCACTGGAAGAAGAGGGAGATATGGAAGAGGATGAGGCAATTAATGATGAGAACTACTTGAGCAAGAGACCGTTAGAAAGTCCTGATGCTGAGGAATTTCCACCTGTGAAACGGCCAAAACTATCTGTTTCCAAAGGGGACACCTTGGATGGAGCTTTGGAACCACGTGAGCCTCTTAGCTCAATAAATACTCAAAAAGTACCACCAATGCTTTCTCCAGTTCATGTTCAGGACAGTGCAGACTTAGCCCCTCCTTCACCAGAACCACCAATGTTGGCTCCCATTGCAAAATCACAAGTGCCAGCCCCCAAAACTTTAGAGGCAAAGCCGTTTGTACCCAAAACGAAGTCCAAAACAAGTTCTCCAGGACAGAAGACAAAATCACCTAAAACTACACCCTCACCAGTGGTAACTGGAAGTCCCATACGTTCACCAAAAACTGGATCCAAAGAGAAAAAGTCACCAGGTCGCGCCAAGAGCCCAAAAAGTCCTAAAAGTCCAAAGGTTCCTGCTCACGTTCCCCAACCACCTGTCAAGCCTGAAACACCAAGTAGAACCCCTCTGGCTGCATTAAGTGACAAGATAGGAAAGGAAAACATTCAAGTAAAACAAGTACAGACACCACCTGAGCCTGTCACCAAGCCAAATGTTGAAAACCAGACTAAGAAAGTACCAGTAATGGACAAGACCATTGATGATTCAATCGATGCTGTGATTGCTCGTGCATGTGCAGAACGAGAACCGGATCCCTTTGAGTTTTCCTCTGGTTCTGAATCAGAAGGGGAAATTTTTACCAGTCCTAAAAGACTTTCTATTTCAGAGACTACGACTCCTAAACCTTCTGTTTCTGCCAATAATGCAAATAAGGCAGGAGCAACTCCAATACCTCCCTCAGGTGGGACTTCAAGTTCAGACATTTCATGGACAATGGATGACTCAATTGATGAGGTCATTCGAAAGGCAAACATGGGGACACCTTCTAATCCACCTACCAACTTCACTTATTTCTCCTCTCCTTCTGCTTCTCCGCCAACTCCAGAACCTCTTCTCAAAGTCTATGAGGAGAAAACCAAGTTGGCTTCATCAGTAGAAGTGAAAAAGAAATTGAAAAAGGAGCTGAAGACAAAAATGAAGAAGAAAGAAAAACAAAAGGAAAAAGATAAAGAGAAAAACAAGGAGAAAAACAAGGAGAAGGAAAAGAACAAGGAGAAGGATAAAGACAAGGAAGGAAACAAGGAAGCAAAATTTCAGTGGAAGGAACTCCTCAAAGATGATGATCTTGATCCCTATAAATTCAAACTAAAGGACTTTGAGGATGCTGACACAAAAGTAAAGTTGAAAGATGGCAATACCAAAAAAGAGAGAGAAAAACATAAAGATAAAAAGAAAGAGAAAGAGAAAGGCAAAAAAGACAAGGATAAGAAAGACAAAGAGAAACTTAAAGATAAGGCTAAGGAAGATAAGATAAAGGCTCCATCAGCACCTCTTGTGTTACCTCCCAAAGAAATGTCTTTGCCCTTGTTCAGCACACCAACTGCCATGAGGCTTCCCAGCATGTTACCTTCCTTGTCTCCAATGCTTCCTGAAAAACTGTTTGAGGACAAAGAGAAACCAAAAGAGAAGAAGAAAGACAAAAAAGAGAAGAAGAAGAAGAAAGAAAGGGAGAAGGACAAAGAAAAGGAAAAGAAAGAGAAGGAAAAGGAGAGGAAAGAAAGAGAAAAGAAAGAGAAAGAAAAAGAAAAACACAAACATGAAAAGGTAAGCTGTTTAGATGAGTTGAGATGGCATACTTGCTCGAAAAATGCACATGGATTTCTACATTTGCTGCTGAGCGTTGTTTAAGAGCTTTGAGGAGATATGCTATTACAGGTTTGGTATTTTTTAAAACTCACAGCTCCAAGGAAGACATCCCCCAAGAGCTTCAGGGATTGTCCCACCTCTTTGGAAGACAAAACAATGGAAGTTCAATTCTGTAAATTTGAAATGTGAGATTGTCCTGGTTTTCCTCAACTCACTTTTCACTTTGAAAAGCTGGGGCTTATACTGAACGGCAGCACACACACAACAAATGTATGTAGTGTTGCAAAGCACAAATTTTGTTTTGTAGATTTCCACTAGTAGGGCTGGTGACCATATACCTTTCATATAAACTTTAAATTTCATTTCTACAAGTCTACTGTTTCAAAGCTTGTAGAAGCCTGTAAATTACCAGGTAGGCAGAAATGAGGGGCAGACTGCCTTCAAATAAACAAGTTCAACAGTTATCTCAGATGTTCAGAAAAGCTACTGAATCCTCTCTTAGCAAGACCATCCCCTTGTTGCTCCAATTTGTTTGAAGTAAGAAAATTGTTTTCAAATTATGGTCTAAATGTTCAAATGTCACCTTTCATTTTGACTTGTATGCTTGAGAGAGAGAAAGGGAGAGCTGGTTTTCAAGTGGGTTGAGCTCCTTCCACTCCTGTAACTCTTACTGATTTATATCAGCCAAAGATAATTTCTTCTTTCCAGTATCACCTAATCTTGAGAATATATTTAATATTTAAGAAATGAAACCAGCATATTTGCATGTTATCAGATTTGAAATCCCATTAGAAACGGTTCCCCTAATTCAGGGTTTGCTCTAATTTTTAGTCACTTCACCTTATAATACGCATTAAATTGTTAATATTTTAAAAAAAAAGGAAAAAGAAGAAAAGAAAGAGATTGTCTTCATATGTGATAACCTTGGATACAGGATTTCCTAAATCTCTATCCTTAGCATTAGGAAGCACTACATAAGTTCTGGTTTTACCAAGATGCTCCTTACATCCTGCTTTGAGTGTCATACTCAGTTTGTACAAGCTCAGATTTGAGACATTACTCTCTTTCCTTTTTTGCCACTGTACCCTGTTGTTCTACCAGCTGGACTTGAAACAAACTGCTGATTTCAAAACTTGACGTATTTTTTAAGTTGACAAATGTTTTTTCAGTGCAGAATCCAGGTGATCTGGAGAACTAAAGTTTGTCTGCTGCGGATGAGTCGGTGCTCGACAGGGTGGTGGTCCAGTTGTCCATGTTAATTTAATGCCTGGTTTTAGACTGCAGCAACACTTTCACGGATTCCCCATTTTGTCGTTATTTCATTGAGAATTTCTGCAGAGCGTTCTTTTTAAGTTAAATACGTGCATGTGTAAAATCGAGACAATGAGTTGCTTGTTCTTCATACATTCGATTTTGCATTTCTTCTGCAAATCTTTACATCAAGTTTGCTTTGGAGCAATATAACAGATACACAAACAAATACAAACTGGTAAAGCTTTGGTATAGACTGAACATATGTATATATGAGGAAAAGGAGATCAACAGTAATAAAAACTTGGACAAATTAAATTGACAAAGCTGCCCATTACCTTGGCAAAAAGTCCCTGTCAAAAGATAAACTTTAAAGCTAGAATGCATGAAAGAGTCCCCAGATAGAATTAAAATTTAAACTGATTCTTGATAGATAAGCTTTTTTTAAATCCACCTCTTTGCTGCAAGTCAGGATTTTAAAAATAAATTTCCCCTTTAAATCTCTTGAGCGATTTTCATTTTTTGCAAGGCCGCACTGCTGGTGTCCTGGAAAAATGGAGAGTTAGAGCTTTATCAGTTGGTGCCCTGAGGTATGTGGCAAAGAAGCTAAATCCTTGAAGATTAGCAAAAAAAATGCAGCACATGGCAATAAGGGGCTTATATGACTACTAGTATTAGTTCAGGTGAAAGAAGTATTGCTTATACATAAAACTGGACAAATCCACTGACAATGTATTTTTAGTTAGCTACAAAGGAGTCTTATATTGCTGGACTTTACCTCTTTGGTGATTTGGGAAGCTTAGTAATCCACTGTAAATGCTCTTCTGCTGGCCCCAATTCCCAGTATTACTCCAGAATGCTGCTCTTTCGTTTTAACCCCTAAAAGTACATGTTTCCTTAATTTAGCTTTTAGATCACACAATGACTTATTTAGCCAGCCATTTATGCTCCAAGAGCAAATGATCAAGTTACTGCTCGGATGCTTAACCTTCCATGGCGTAAGCCCAACCCAAGAGATGAGTTCGTGGGCTAACTGCAGCTTCAGCTCTTGATGGCCAGTAGAAAATGTCAGATTTCTATTTCTAATATTGCTGTACTTAAATAAAAGAGTGACTCAGCAGTAATGTTTCCATTTTCAAGTATTTTTATCATTATTACCTAAGTGTGCATCCCATCCTGTTGGGAAATCAAAGCTTTTTATCCAATTTTCCCTGTAATTTTGCCCCGAACTGCTGGAAGACACAGAACAGCAACCAGTACTCTGCCTAAATGGCAGAAAGCAGAAGCTGAAGGCTGTCTGCTGGAAGCGTTCGGTGGTGCGACTCAGGAAGAGGAGCTTTCGCGTAGGGCTTGCCTGCAGCCCCGTGCTCTGCAGTAAGCGTTGGGATGCTGCCCTTGGAGCCAGAAAATGAGACGGTGAGCTGGGGCGCTGCCTTGCACGCACTACCAAATTAAAAGCAAACGTTTGAAGCAGTTACACCCCACTTCTATGATGGAGATTACCGGGCGTGCTGTAGGAGTGACTGAGCAGCTCATGAAGCAGCCGCTGACCCAGTTTCAGCTAACCTTAATACGCTGAGCTGTAAACTAAAGTAGTTGAGGAACTGCTTCACGAGGATTGGATCCATCCTGGCATCGGGGCAGGGCTTGCCAGAGCAGCCCCAAAGTAAACTGCCCTCACTCATGGATCAAAGTCCTGTCGTCAATGTAGAGGAAGACCGGGATATCCAGGATATAACTGTGAATGCTCCTTAATTTTCCCCCTGCTCCAGTCGCGCAAACCCTACACACAAACCCCTGTTGCTGGAAAATACTTCCTCTCCTTTCGTATCAAAGGATAAGATTTAGGATTGTCATGGAGCCCAGTTGTCCTCTTACAGCAGGCTGTGATGTTGGTATCTGAGCATAAAGAAGTGTTCCGTGTGCTTTTCTTCTGCCACATGAGCCCACACCATTGTTTAGAACATCTCGATAGTATATAAATAATAATACAAAACACCTTAATACAAAGGATGGATGACATGAGTATCTTTCCGTGCTGTGTGCTGGAAGCTAAGTAGCAGTACTTGTCCTAGGAAGTTATGTATTTGAAATAGGTACTACAAAAAGAGGAAAAACCTGCAGGAAGAGAGGTAAGATAATCTAAGGCATGTGGCTGAGCCTCCTGTACCGAGGGTTCAATTCCATGTCACTAGCCAGTGGATGATGCTGCAGGTTAAGGTGCTGGGAAAGCAGTTAAGAGACTTACCTATGGAAGCGGCAGTGAAATTGTTCCAGGCATTAGGAGCTCCAGAGGTAAAAAGCTCTTGCAACACTCCAGGGGAATGACATAACAAAAAAACCTGTGCTATATAAACAAAAGAGTAGAGAGAGACCTGTGAAGTAGGCTAATACATATCCATGGAGAGCTTTATTGAAAAGCGTGGTTAACTGTGTCCAAACAGCAATACTACTCAGGCTGCAGCCCTTCTCTCTCTGGAGTAGACATCTCCTAATGAGCAGCTCCGATTCCTTGGGCAAGCTGCGTGACACGGGGCTTTGTCATTACCATTCCTCAATGTAAGTCCTAATTGAGTCCTCCCACTCTGCCCTGCTGTCTCCTGCACTGCTTTTTGAATTGATTGTTTGCCCTCCTTTTCTTTATGAAAGCTTTTAAAAACTGATTTCTCCCACTGAGAGTAGCTCGGGTTTCCATTTAGTATATGCATACTGGTTTTTTCTTTTTTTTTCTTGACCAGGTACAGCTAAGTGGTTATTTTATTTGACATGATGACACATGCTCAAAATTTTGGCAGATACTGGTTCAAAGAGTTTAAGGATATAATCAAGTCATCTAAACTCCACCAGATACTGAGGTTGGAAACCAGGCCATTTGAAAAGTAGCCATGAGAAACATCAGCTTAATTGCATTAAAAAGCAGCGGACGTGGATAAGCACTTTCATAAAGTATTTGCTGTTGGTGCTTGGGGTTTATTTGCTTCCTCTGTGTCTAATTTTGATTCAAGAGGGTCATAGTACATTTATGCGATGATCCTGGGAAACAACTGAATTTAAATCTCAGGAAAAGTGCAAACACCGGTGGTACCTATCAAGTTTGAGTACTAAGGTCAAAGCATTTCATGTCATTGTTTAGAAAGGTACGGGGGGGGTTGTGTCTTTAGAAAAATACTAAACTGGGAAGACATGTTAACAAAGTGTATGAGCAACAAATGCAATGAAATTTCAAGTTGACCTTTTAGTCTAGAATTCATATTTGGGATTGGCTGGGACCTCCTGACAAACTCAGACCATCCATGTCACAGCACAAAGCATGAGAGAGCAGTGATCAGTCTATCATAGGTCTGTCTCATTAAACCGATATACTCTGTTTGGTTAAGTCCATCAGTGCTTTCATGTAATTAATATATTTTGGGAGTCTGCTTGCAGTCTTTGATTGATGATTGTGTTCCCTTGTACAGATAAAGGTGGAACCAGTTGTTCCAGCTCCATCACCGGTTATTCCTCGGCTGACATTAAGAGTGGGTGCAGGCCAAGACAAGATGTAAGTACAAATAAATTCATCTGCAAAGTGTACGCTTACCACAGTTCATGCTCTATCGCTCGTGATAGCTCTTATTTTCAGTGAGAAATGCTTAAAAATTAGTGGCAAATGACATTCATACAGCTATGGCATCTTTTGACCATTCTAATGAAAAATCAAGCAGAACGCTTCCCAGTAGAAACTTTTTGGACATTTTACCCTTTTTCTTCTACTCTCCAAGTGGGACCCATCATCTTCCATCCATCCTACAATGTTTCCCAGTCCATGCCTTTCTAGGGCATGGATTACAAGACTCCATCTAGTCTCGTATGCCGCCTCAAGGGACATTTAGTGAGGCTTCCATAATGGGCGGTTATCCCTATTGTGACCTACAGCTAAATTTCATAACACTCTTCAGCTAACAGTTGTTTTGTGCTTTAAAACATAACAGTTGAAATTCCTTTATATGCATCTGTTTTATTATAAGTGTTGATGATTATTCATGAGTGTACCTAACACATTGCAAATGTCGGTTCATTAACTCCCTAATTATTGGGTGCTGTTGTACAAATAATAGTTACTTTGTACTGTATGAGCGTAAATAGGCTGGTTCCTATCCTGACATCATACAGCATAAACAGGTGGCTGGAGAGGCTGGGGAAACCATGTGCCACGGGGCTTTTTAGCCTGGTCCTGTGTTGTGTGTGAAGGGTTTCTTTTTATCAGGTTTTTCATGTTGGTTTTAATGGCGCAGAGCACGCTTTCGCGTCTGATGGTAAACATGAGCGCCAAACAGATCTTTCCTTTCCATTCATCACATTATTATATTGCTAACGTAGTTGTTTCTCTTTTATAGCCATTCTGAACTAAATTTCCTAATCAGTATTTTTTCTGCTTTATAAGTTAAATGGCATCTTTGATGATTATTCTCTTTTTCTGTGCGGTCCTACTCCTCTCTCACAGGTAATTGTGACTGTGACTGTACTGGTTTGAAGTTGCTACGGAACTTCAGTCATTTCTTGGTTTCTATGGGACACCCCCACCCTAAATATCAGGGCTTTTTCCTGCTCTTCAACCGTTTCTGCTTTCTTCCTTGCACAATATTTGAGTGTGATCTAAACACTCAGATTGCTGTACAAAAGCTCCTGCTTTCCCAGAATGGTTGTCTGTCCTGCTGTGCAGATTTGAATGTGCACAGGTGGACAGGATGTCCCTTTAAAGCTCACAAATCTATTTTTCTCTTTGAGGAGCTATGGATACTTTTAAACTCCTTTTTTCAAGGACAGTACAAGTGTTTATACAGGGAAACTTAAGTCATATTTTCAAAATTCTACTAAGTACTTCTAAGTTAGAGTTCTGAAGCCATATTTTAGCACCAAAGAGTTGACTTTGCTTCCCATCTTATCTCACCCCAGTTCTTCTCATACCCACAGACATTTTGTGAAGGGATCTTCACAAAAAGCAGAAGATCTGCTTGCTACAAATCATATGGGTACCTCATCATCAATCAGCCCTGCCAGTCTGTAGCGGGTCAGAGTTACTGACATATTGTTTTATGGTCTTTTGGGAAACTCGCTTCTATCCCAGTTTCCTTTGTGCATCTCCAGTGGCACCGTGACCACCATCTGAGGACCTCAGGTCTTGTGATCCTTAGTATGGCAGAGCCTGGAGTTTAAACCCCGACTCCAGGATGGGACATACATAAAGCTGACTTAGCTCAAAGCTTCTAGACAGATTAGGGGAGAATTAAACACCAAGGCTGAGATCTTCAGGGGCAGGGAAGTCCTGGAGGCAGCTGGTAGCAAATGCTGAAAAATGGTTGTGCTGCAGCTTTCTGCAGCATCTGTACTGGGCCTTAGAGGGGAACTTCATCTTCTCCACATGAAACTCATCCTCAAGATAGCTTTAGGCTGCATAACCAAATGAGGTTTGAGTCATTAGTATTCCATCTCTATTTGCTTACTGGTTTCCCTTTTCTACCTTAAATATCTCCTCACTGCCCACCATACTGGCACCCTAAAATTATCCCATTGTAATGGCTGTATCACCCAGTTGCACCTTCTGACTGATGGCAAACAAGAACTTACGGAGCTTTGTAATAGCTTTTCGGATTTGTCATAGATTTCCAAGGCAAAATCCAGGAAGAAATTTGCCATTACACGAGTAAATACAGTTTGTGCCACGTGGCTCTGGGGACCGTGTTGTGTTGCGTATCATTCCAGCATCTAATGCGGCAGGGCTTGCGGTGGAGCTGTCCTGCTCTAAATACTACTTTCGCTTTCATCCTCAACAATTAATATTCAGCCTGAACTCAGAGCATATTTTAATTTTCACGTGTTGCGATCATTATGAAAAGGACTGGTGTCGCTCCGAGGCAAAGCGTTACATAGCTCTGTGTGTGGCTTGGACCTCTGAAGTAATACCAGAAGTCTATGTGACCTCTATTTAAAGTGATTAGTTGGAAGGACCATAGTAGGATCATCAGCCTTTTAAGTAGCTCGTAACAGACAGAAACAAAAGCTTTTGTGATGTGTTATGGTAAGGGAAAGTTATGTTTCATCTGTGTTGGTAATGAAGTTGTGAATATCTGGTGACGAAAATCTAGAAATGTTGTGTTTCAATTAGCATGTCTATGGAGTTTACTTAGCATGGGATTGTATGAGAATACCATGAATCGCCATGGAAAGGTTTTTGGGGATTCGTAGAATTTGATAAGTAAAAACTAGATTGAGTAATGAGTTATTTCAATTTCCTCTGTTAGAGAGAAGAGCTGTTTGGAGGCTTTTGGAAGTACTTAAGTACCCATACAACTGGAGATTGGTTTGTTTGGGGGAACTTCATATAAAACTGTCTTTAATGGAAGTACTTACAGATCTTGTAAAGCCATGAAGTCTTACAGGTGCCTGAAGAAAAAGTGTCAGATTGATGATGCTTGAAATGGAGATTCACATCACACCATAAACACAGCGCAGCAACAGCAACACAAGTTTACTCGAATAATGCAGCAGTGGTGAGGAAAATGCCTTTGCAGTGTAGCGAACAGTTTATTCTCTGTCATTTCACTTCTTGGCTCCTCTGCTTGGACCAACATACAGAGCAGTGATGGCAGTGGCAGAGAAGTCTCCTTCTTTCTTGTTTCTGAATAGGAGTACATATTGCTCCGAGATTCAAAGTGATACCTGCATTCGAGCTTGTCCGGTGTGCAGATATTCTTACAACACACATCAGTTCAAAGGAGATGGCTATTAATAACGTTAGGTTAATAGACATGAAAATGTACTGTTGCTGAAAGATGAAGAAACCAATATTGGAAAAACTGTCCTACTTTAGGGTTTTTTTGCAAGTGTTTTAACTGCACAGTAAAACAAGAAGAAAGTAGATTATAATCAAAGCATTTCCATCTTAGTTGTAAACAATTACAGCAATACTTGCATGGATGCCACATTAGAAGAAATTTACTGGATTCCATTCTAATGCAATTAGAGCTAATTTTGTTCTTTAAATGAATAAAAGGTCAGCTAGTAAATCTAGTTTATCTCAAGTCCAGGCTTCAATAAATTGTTTTATTTAATTTGTTGTAAAAGATCTTATCCTTAATGGGCCTAGCTCTTATTAGTTTGCTTGGGTTCTAAAATATTTATGACCACCTTTTTAGATATGATTTGAATGATATGTTGGAAGGGTTTTTTACTGTTTTTTTTTTCTACTCCAGTGTTATCAAGGTAGATTGCTAACTGAGTTAGTATAGGAAGGAACTAGAGATGCTATCTTTTTTAAAAACAAAACAAAACAAAAAACCACAGCTAGCATAGACTTTTAAATTTTAAATCAACTGCAAATGATGAGCAGAATTTAATACTTTTATTCAATTGCATCATGGTTTTTTTGTCTAATTATTTTTTCCTAAGCACAATCATTTTTCATACACATGAGCTTTTTAAAAGCATATCTGTTGATGAGGTGTTGACATTCCAGCTACTACCACAGTTCACATAAACTTCAGCAAAAGTATGTGCTGTAATTTTTGATACTTCAGATAAATTTATTCTACATTTAAATACAGTTTTTAAGAAAAAACACATGGCTTCTGACTCTAATGCCAGACCACAAAGCAGAGTACCACTCACTGGTTGCTGTTTCAGTGCTCCTGTGACTTAGAAGCAGGAGGGATATTTTTTTGTGAAATCAGGTCTCCAAATTTACCTTAAAATGTTGGGCTTTTGCTCCAAACTTATACTGCACTGTATCATAGCTCTGCCGTCAGCAGGGAACCTGGAAACCGGACGTGAGAAGGGGAAAGATGGGTATTTTAACAGTGTTTAACTTGTAAACGTGACCCGCCACTCTAATGAAGTTACCCCTTGTTTTACATATTTTTAAAATGAGTAGATATGTGACTTTCTCCCCAAAAAATCGCACATATGCTCAGATGTGCATGTGTCTATAAAAAATGTATATTAAATAACCCGTGGATTGTAAAATAAAATCCTAAAAGGATTAAGGGATAGAAGAAGTTTTGTTATCCAGATATTTAATTGACTCCACTAAAGCTTTTTATCGCTTGGTAGGATATTATCAGTCCAAGGCCTAACTTAGGTTCATTTGGAGGCTCGCTCGACTGCATGATATCCCCATGACAAAAGCCACCAGCATAGCTAGCTGACATCGTTTGTAGGGAATCTCAAGGCCAAGTGGCATACATATATATATATATACCAAATTACTTTGTGACCAGTAGATGTGACCGCTCTGTGTAATATTGGTGACCCAGAAGCATACTTTTGGGACTAAGAAGATAGGGGAACCTGTCTTGTTGCTTTCCTTTTTATTACACCAAGTTTCTGTGATCGTCCATCTAAGAACTCCTACCACAATAAGGTGCTCGTAGCGTGTGTTTTTGTAAATTGGCAAAATAGCATGTGTATGAAAAAGTGGAAGCCTGAAAGGAGATGTAGCTTGAGAAAATCTCCTCATTGAAGTTACAACCCTACCTGAAACACAGCTGGACTGTTGGAGGAGTT